CACTATGTATTTTTACTAAAATATATACACACAGATGTACTCAAGTTTGGATACCCCTTAAAGAGTCTTCAAGATGTTTATCAAAATAGGAAAATCATGAACGCTTAACATAAACATATTCACATACGGTATATACATACAATTTCTCTACAAAATAACTGAATTAACACCCTAGCTGGTTCAACTTCTTGCTAACACCTTACAATAAGGTTTCATTTGTTAACATTAGTTAACTACATTAGTTAAAGTCCCTGTAAAGTCAAAATAAAGTATGTTCTGAGTCTGTCATACCACAGAAAAATGTGTTCTTAGCCACCCAGCCAAATTTGAATGATAAAAAAAGTACATAAAATAAGCTATCAAAATCATGAAAAAATGAGCAGATTCTCTGCTCTCAAACGCTGGGGGCGTGTCCGCTGGCTGCGCTGAAACCACGCCCACTAGCGGGAAAGCTGTTGACGGTGATATTAGCTGATTAGCTTTTGGAGACGGGAGGATGAACACTGAGGCGGGAGATCGTCGTTTCGGCCCCGTTCACCAGTAACAGCCGATTATCAGTGAATCCCAGTTGTCTCTGAGGAAAGTTTATAAAACGATCCAGTGTAAAACGATCACTACAGAGGCGGGTGTTGGGGGTGATCCTCAGCTTTTCATCAACAAGGTTGGCTCTCTAAAAACCTCTTCTTGATGTGATCGTTTTTAGGGGAATTTAAATGAAGATACCGATCTGTTTTGTACATGATCGCATCCAGGTAGTAGCCCATGCATGTCCATGTCGAAGGCATAGCAAGCTAGAAAACTGTAGGCTCAGCTGTAGTAACTAATAGTCCTGACAGACACTCGCGATTGAACGGTGAATGCGAATGTGCTCGGGGAGTGTGTGTGGAGAGGGGGAGATCAGACTCTTTGCGTCATCAAATAGAGGGGTGTCCAGCAGCTCATGGGCTCCAGTGCGTCATCGAGCCCTGTTTTAGCCCCGCCTAATTAATCCGTAAAATTGCAATGGTGAAAAACTGTTTAACGGTCTAACTCCACATTTCAGTACTTCACAGTTCACAGACTTTGTAATATGTTTTAGCAATACATATGTAACATTTATAATGTGTTTAGAACTTTTTTGTAGAATTGCCTTTACAGGGACTTTAACTTTAACTAACAGTGAACAATACTTCTACAGCATTTATTAGTCTTAATATTTTAGGAAAGGTTGAAAATTTGAAACATCAATGAAACATTTACTAAGATTAAAAGTTGTATCCGTTAACATTTGTTAATGCACTGTGAACTTACTTGAACATTTTTATTAACTAACATTAACAAAGGGGTAAGAAATTCTGTAAGAATATATTGTTCTTTGTTAGTTTGTGTTAGTTAATTGAGACCTTATTGTGAATTGTTACCATTTTTTGATAACTGCATTACACCGTTTACAGTGTAAAAAAAGTCAAATATATTCTCAGGTATATGTATACAACAGCCTTTGCAGTTTAGATAATTCAATGGTTTGTAATGATGCACTGGCACTCTTTGCTAGACTGGTGCAGTAGAGGATGTACAAGCAAAGGTGGGGGAGTTTATTCATCTGACGACTCGGACTGACCTACAGCTGGCAACAGGCAGGATGGCATTAGAGCTAGTGTCAAGATCCCAGACAGATGCCGACTTCTACCCTCAGGCTGTATTTCTACAGCTGTTGGAGACTCGGTACCTCTGCTACAGGTTAGACCACACATAAGCTCTATGGAAACCTTTGTCTTCCAGCTACTAGTGTTTTTTGTGCATCTATGCTCATTGTCCTTTTTTTCTTTTTCTTTTTTTTTTGGAAATGCAGTGTGTGCCCTGATCTGCTGACACTGGCCATGGTGAAGAAAGATTTTCATCTCTGTCAGATTGCTTTCCAAATTTTTCCTGACATTCCTGAAGCTGTCACCTGTGCTTGTCTGAAAACAATTCTCAGGTGAGTCCTGTGCTTACCTGCTGCTGAATGACATCCAGACCATTACACTCTTAATAACTGAGGCACTGTAACCAAATAATACTAAGCTTTTGATAATTTGCACAAATGTTGTTTTAAAGAGAAATGATGTGAAACTAATTTTATAAAAATCTTTTCTGACTGTAGTACTCCAGACTCTGAGATTGAGACTGTGAATCTTGACACAGAGAGTGTCATCTTCATGAAAGTGCTGACTCAGACACAAAGTGGATTAAAGGAGGAGGGTGGGCAGCAGAACGGCTTTTGCCCTCCAGCAATAGAGACTGATGTATCTGATGCCCCCAGCACCATGCTACAAAGAGATCCTTTAGCCCTGGTTATGAACTGTCCTGTGGGGTTACACAAGGGTGCTCTTCTGTATCCTTCATCAAAACTGTGTATTACAAAAAACATGTTTTTTTTTTTTTTTTTTTTCCATTTTTGTTTTTTCTGGTTGCATATTTTCTTTAACCTATCGGATAGAAATGAGGTTCTGCAGACAGCGTACAGTAACAAGCCCCTGCTGCCACATCTAAAAGATCTCACTGTTCCGCAGGTCATTGTGAGTATCTGACACACAAACACATCTAGCCTAGATTGGTATAGTTAACCATTATTTAGTATCCCAATTTGTGGAAACAGAGGTAAATGCCCCCCAAAATAAACATATTGACCAGTTTTTGACCTAGTTTTGTTGAGTTAAAAGAAGTTTAAAAGAGAAGAGTTTGCCCTTGTCCCAAATGGCACCCCAAGTCCTTGCAGCAGAGTCAAAGCTTTCATGACGTAATGCTACTACTTGGGTAAATTCCCAAATAATCTCCCCGGAGCATGCGGTAGCACAGACTCTGCTTAAGTGTGCAATGTGCATCAAGGGACATAGAGGCTGTGAGCACCCATCTGAAACCTAAAATGAGAAATGGGACTCCGCAGTCTTATGGACTTCACAGACACGTGCACGCAGCATAAATGTTCAAGACCACAAGTTCACATGAGTGTAGCCTTTGAGACAGGGCCTTTATCTCCAGTGTGAAAAAATAGTACCTCTCTGGACACTGAGCAGGATGTGGAATGTTTTATTTTAAAGCATATTGCTTATTTGTTGATTAATTATCAGTAGTTTGTTATTTTGTTAATCTTTAACGAACTTTGCCCTAATTTTTTTTCTTCTCTTTTTTTTAAAGGTCTTTTTACAGTATCTACTTTTCCTTTATCTCAAATATTCTCATGATGCCCACAAACAAATCCCAGCTCTACGGACACCAAGTTTTTCTAAGGTCAGTTTTTCTCTGTAATCAAACAGATGCAAACTAAATATAAAAAATTCAAAACTGTCTAACCTTTTTAACCTTAACATTTTTTCTTCTCTTTTTAAAGATAATAGACTGGATTTGCTTATTACTAGATGCTCATTTCACAATCTTGGCTGTGGCACCAGAAGCCAAAAGATTGGTGTCTGATCTTCACAAGTTTGTGAGATCCCAGGTACAGCACAGGTCCTTTACTGCTTATTGGAAATTACAGTTCTTGTATTGTGTGTATCTTGTAAGCTGAAATAACAATGAAATGTGTCCCCTTTCAATCCTTTTCAGGTAAAACTGTATGCTGAACTGGGAAAAATTGAGGGAAGTCTTCAAGTCCTCAAAAAGTCTAAACAATCTGAAGATTTTGGCATGTACTCCATAGAAGTAATTGAGCTCTTTTAGATGACTTGCACAGATCTTTTTTAATAAAATGCTGACAATGACTCAAATTTTCTGCCAGTTTTTGGCAGTTTTCTTGATTTGTTTTTAGAAAAAAAAATGGATTGAAATTCTTACATATTCAAAATAATTATGAAATAAAGACTGAAGTAACGCTTTCCAGATTGTTCTCTGAAATATCTTGAAAAAATTTTTCAATACATATGTGGAATGTTTTCGATAAATAAAATATGGTACAGACATGTTTAACACACTTCATTCATGTTCTATAAATTAATGGAACACTAAAATGGCCTCTTCTGCACTACTAAACTTGCATAATTTGTGAAATCTATAAATCAAGTAAACTGAAGTCTGTTTAAACATAAATAAAATAATATAATTTGATAAAAGGAGAACAGGATTAAATCACCTTCAAAGTTTAGCTTCAACCCTAAACTAATTAACGCGGAGCTGCAGATTAGGTTTTGTCGTCAAAACCACACAAATTCAACAGCGTTTAAATCGGAAAGACATTTACATGAAAGTTTTGTGTCATTATATAAAGTTTTTGATATAAACTGACACCTGCAGTCAGTGAACAGTCAAATAAAATATGAAGACAGTTGGTATGATTTTCCCTTACAAAAGTCAATTTTATTCATGTGTCCGCTGAAAGTTAAGGTTAAATTATGAAATTTCAACCATATAAGGGTGTCTCCGTTTCCATATGGTTTGAGTGATCTGAACCATATACTTACATATTTCATACAATTTATCCTATTTAGTAGTATGGAAAGTTTGGCAGATTTTGATATGAATTCAACCTCTAATAAACAAAAAGAACACGTTTTCACACCTTTTTTTTCTAAAAAATAAAAAATGAACGGATGTTATCTTTTGAACTCTTGGCATGAAAAACAATGCTCTTTACTATACAAATCAAATGTTAATGTGTCCACAAATCCAACATTAACAGAAGACAACTGATATTCGCCATATTACAATGTCGCATATCACTACGACATTGTACACAAAATTCAATTAACCTAAAAATGGTTCTGACTGACAAAACCACAAATGTTGTTAATCAGATTAATTTTTTTAACTGGTGGGGCCACAGCCATTACATATTAACCCCCTGGGGTCGGCTATTGCGCCGGTGTGACAAGCTCACTTTTTTCGTTAACAGTGCAAAAGAGACTCAAATTACTCTGTTGATTTTTAGTGCTGTAGATTGAAGTGCTGTACATCATTAGATCCTGTTGTGTCTATTTTTTGTGGATACTCACAATAAAAACAGTGTTCTTCTTTTTGTCAAAGAAAAATAAACGATGCGAATTTTGTGTTCTCTGTCAGTGAAGTTCATTCTGAAAGGCGTCTGAAAATTAACTGTTACTAAGTAAATACTTGTCACACAGGCACGAAAGATTTTTTGTTATGAAGCTGAAATTCTCTTTTAAATGAAGTAATTTATATAAAAACAAATGATCTCAGTTTATGTAATCTGTATGAAAAGAGAGATGTCAGTCTTTCCTTTCAGCTAATTATAGCGTTGTGACGAACATGATTCTCTGAGTCACATGATGTTCTCAGTCACATGATGTTCTCAGTCACATGATGTTCTCAGTCACATGATTCACTGAGTCACATGATGTGTGGAGCACATGGCTTAAAAGAGTTGGAAGATGGCAGTAAGAGTAGACCTTGTGCAGTGGAAAGATGTGGGAAGTTAATCCTACAAAAACCCTGTGAGGTAAAAGGAACATTTTGTTGATTTGCCTTGGGATTTATGTTCTTTTGGATGTTCCTGGATGTTCAAAGATACTACTAATGGTTCAAACAACAATGGAGGACTGATCATTTCGCTAACTGACTGACTGACAAACCAACCAAGTATTGTTTTTTCTTTTCTCTTTTTTCATATTCTTTGTTGGATTTGCCAGTTGAGACTTTTTGGCATGAGACTTTGTGACTGTGGTTAAAGTGCTGAGAACTCTATTTCAACTGCACAGTGGACTGGTTGCTCAGTGCTGGCCTGAATGGACTCTGAAAGGTCTAAGTACATGTACAAAAAACTATGCTGAATTGAGAACTTGGTCAAGAGCTGTTAATGTGAACTGTGAAACTGTTGGTGTTTACACCCTCAATGAGTTGAAAGGAAAATAATCTGACTTTGAATGAGCAGATCTGATTTTGTTTGAATACTTGTCATGGTAAATGAACTAAATGAACCCCAGACTTGGGAATTGAGTATTTGAGTTGTTGGAGAACTTTTGAAGAACTTGAACTTTTGGTTTCTGATTTAGTTTTTGTTTGTTTGTTTTTTTGCCTTTGTGAAACATTAATGTTTTTTTTTCTCACTGCATGTTATCTTGATCAACAAAAACTAATAACAGTTTATATGAATTGAGCCTATTGCTGTTGTTGTTAATTCTTCATCCACATATTAAGGGTTCTACTTTATTTGTTTTTTTTAAATATCTGAATCCTTTGTAAGGTTGACTGACTAAACAAAATATAGTAGGTTTAAAAACCTGCTTGGCACCCCAGTCAATTAGGTCAATCCGTTACAGCGTATGACGTGTTAATGTGACCACGCCCACTGAGAGTGCGTGCTATTCTATCTTTGAAATATGTATGATAAAATGTATTGGCCTGCTTTAAAAAAAATAGTACTATATAAGAGATTTAATGGAAAAAGACAATTTTATTTTCACAATGTTTTCAACTCTAACTTTGAACCAATTCTATAGAATGGCCCATATAAACTATTTGAACAGGATTGTTGCACCTAAAGGGTTATTAGGAACACCGGTTCAATTTATCATCAATTCAATTATCTAATCAACCAATCACATGGCAGTTGCTTCAATGCATTTAGAGGTGTGGTCCTGGTCAAGACAATCAAACTCCAAACTGAATGTCAGAATGGGAAAGGTGATTTAAGCAATTTTGAGCGTGGCATGGTTGTTGGCGCCAGACTGGCTGGTCTGAGTATTTCACAATCTGCTCAGTTACTGGGATTCTTACGCAAAACCATTTCTAGGGTTTACAAAGAATGGCGTGAAAAGGAAAAAAACATCCAGTATGCGCCAGTCCTGTGGGCGAAAATGCCTTGTTGATGCTAGAGGTCAGAGGAGAATGTGCAGACTGATTTAAGCTGATAGAAGAGCAACTTTGACTGAAATAACCTCTTGTTACAACCGAGGTATGCAGCAAAGCAAATGCCACAACACTTGCAACCTGTTGGTGGATGGGCTACAACAGCAGAAGACCCCACTGGGTACCACTCATCTCCACTACAAATAGGAAAAAGAGGCTACAATTTGCAAGAGCTCGCCAGTTGAATTGGACAGTTGACGACTGGAAAAATGTTGCCTGGTCTGATGAGTCTTGATTTCTGTTGAGATATTCAATAGTAGAGTCAGAATTTGGCATAAACAGAATGAGAACATGGATCCATCATGCCTTGTTACCACTCTGCAAGGCTGGTGGTCGTGGTGTAATGGTGTGGGGGATGGTTTCTTGGCACACTTTAGGCCCCTTAGTGGCAATTGGGCATTGTTTAAATGCTATGGCCTACTTGAGCATTGTTTCTGACCATGTCCATCCCTTTATGGCCACCATGTACCTATCCTCTGATGGCTACTTCCAGCAGGATAATGCACCCTGCCACAAAGCTCGAATCATTTCAAAATTGGTTTCTTGAACAAACGATGAGTTCACTGTACTAAAATGGCCCCCACAGTCACCAGATCTCAACCCAATAGAGCATCTTTGGGATGTGTTAGAACGGGAACTTTGTGCCCTGGATGTGCATCCCACAAATCTCCATCAACTGCAAGATGCTATCCTATCAATATGGGCCAACATTTGTAAAGAATGCTTTCTGCACCTGCCTTAATTCCACGTAGAATTAAGGCAGTTCTGAAGGCGGAAGTGGGTCAAACACCGTATTGGTATGGTGTTCCTAATAATCCTTTAGGTGAGTGTATATTGTCCTTGCATTCTTTCTTGTGTGACACACCTGAATGAAAGGCTCTTTATTATGTGGGACTTTGTCTTTTCAGGTGAGAACCATCTAATTTTACATAATAATAATAATAATAAATTGAATTTATATAGTGCTTTTCTCAATCAATCAATCAATCAAATTTTATTTGTATAGCGCCTTACAACAGCTAAAAGGTGCACAAGGCGCTTTCCAGTAAAAGCATCAATAGACAACAGAAAAAGGGGAAGAACAAAACAAAACACAAAAATAAGCCAGAGTTAAGATTACATGTTAAAAGCTTGTCTGAACAGATATGTTTTTAACTGTGATTTAAAAGCACCCAGCACAGTGATGCATCTTAGGAATGTTGGTAAAGCGTTCCACAGTTTAGGGCCCTGGACAGCAAATGACCGGCCTCCAAACTTTTTATATTTAAATTTGGGAATGACCAGATAGGTCTGTTCAGATGAGCGCAAAGTTCTGGGTGGTTGATAAACTGTTACTAAATCGGCGAGGTAGACCGGGGCCAGACCATTAATAGCCTTGAACACAAACAGTAGGATCTTATACTCCACCCTAAACCGTATCGGGAGCCAGTGGAGCGAGCGGAGGACAGGGGTGATGTGCGAGCGTTTGGAGGTGTTGGTGAGTAGACGTGCTGCCGCGTTCTGAACCAGTTGAAGCCGATTAAGAGATGATTGATTAAGTCCAGTGTAGAGGGCATTACAGTAGTCTATCCTCGAGCTGATAAAGGTATGAATGACTTTTTCAAAGTCAGCTTGGGACAAGAATGGTTTGACCTTACTGAGAAGCCTTAGCTGGTAAAAGCTCGCCCTGACAACAGCACTAATCTGTTTGTCATACTGCAAATTTTTGTCAAAAATAACACCCAAGTTGCGTACAGTGGGTGCAAACTGAGGTGTTAGAGGACCAAAACTAAAAGAACTACTGGGTGAATCAGGGCTAAAAAGAATGTACTCTGTCTTTTCTTCATTCAAATGAAGGAAATTCTGGGAAAGCCACTGCTTAATGTCCCTAAGGCAGTCCAGCTGGGGTCCAGCGCAGAACGATTGTTCAGAATCACAGGAAGGTAGATCTGGAGGTCGTCTGCATAGAAGTGAAAGTGAACATTATGATTGGAGATGAGTTGTCCAAGTGGCAGCATGTAGAGGGAGAACAGAACAGGACCGAGAATGGATCCTTGAGGCACACCGGATGACAGAAGGGCAGATGAGGATGAGAAGTCATCAAGCATTACTGAAAAAGTTCTGTTGGTGAGATATGAAGAGAACCAATTTAGCACTGCGCCCTGCAAACCAACAAGATGTTGAAGACGGGAGATGAGGATGGAGTGATCCACGGTGTCAAATGCAGCGGTAAGGTCCAGTAGTACCAAAACCACAGAGCTTTTACTATCCAGAGCTCCAAGAATGTCATCATGGACCCTTAGTAACGCAGATTCAGTGCTATGTCTGGACCTGAAACCAGACTGAAATTTATCACTAATGACGTGCAGTTGTAGGTGAGACTGAAGCTGGGAGAAAACAAGCTTCTCCATCAACTTAGACAGAAATGGCAGATGAGATATTGGTCGAAAATTGGACAGTATGGTAGGATCTAAGCTGGGTTTTTTGAGCAGCGGTCTTACAATAGCATGTTTGAGAGCAGTGGGAACAGTCCCCAAACTTAGACAGCTGTTCATGAAGGTGACGAGAAAAGGACCTACGATGTCAATAGCCTCTTTCAAAATCCTGGCAGGAATTGCGTCTAGAGGACAGGTGGTAGGCTTCAGCTCATGAACAGCTATCTTGAGGTCCTCCAGAGTAACTGTATCAAAGTCCTCCAGCATGCATTGCATCGCTCGAGAGGAAAAGACAACAGCAGGAGCATGTGTGATAGTTTGCCTAACAGATGAAACCTTGTCCAAAAAGTGTTGTTTGTTGTTTTAAATAATGTATCAGAAAAAACATGCAATGCATTCAGACACCGGATTAATGACAGAATTAACAGTCCTAAACAGGATTCCAGGGCGGTGGCTATTGCTATTGATGAGGTTAGAAAGGTATTGTCCTTTAGCTTCCTTCACAGCTCTCTGAAAGTTGGCAAGACTGTCTCTAAACATGTCCAGTGACACCTGCAGCCTATCCTTCTTCCATTTACGCTCAGCCTGTCTACACTGGCGCCTGAGGGCCCAAGTTGAATCATTGAGCCAGGGGACCGATGGACCTTTGGTCGTCTTTACCTTGTAGGGCGCAACAGAGTCCATAATCTGGGAGCAGATGGTGTGGAAGGAGGAGAGGAGAAGGTCAGGACATAAAGGCGTTGTCAGTTCAGCAGTGGAGACGATGT